TGTTGAGGAAGATTTAGATTTTCTCGAGACACTCGAGGAAGGTATGTATATTTTAATTAATTTCATTGTATTGCTTAAGATAGTTAAATATATATTAATTGCTTTACTTGTTAATATATATTCTTATTAGATTTTACTAATCTTGACAAAGAAGCTTCCACCGACGATGTTTTCTAGAGTTTGTTAGCTGCTATGTAAGTTCTCCATTTTAAATAATATACTTGTAAAAGAATGTGATGTATTACAAAGTTCTTAATTTCTTTCAGGTTTAAAGCTTGGTAGAAACTATGCGATCAATCTAGATGTGGATCTTTTGGCTTTATCTTTTGTTCTGTGTTGCCTTACATATCTGAGTCTGCTTTGGCAATCTGATAGGATTTACTAGAGAGCTGGTGCTGAATCTCGTATGCTGTGTAATGTGTAATTCTACTAACTGATGTCAAACTTGTCCTTGTTGAGTATGTTGTTTGGGAAAAACCTTCAAAATCTGTGTTGGCCTTCTATTTACAAGGGTGTATCAGTGTTGCTCTTGCTTAACCCCACAGACATACTCACTCATGTACTTGATTTGCCTAGTTCTTTATGTCCAACTCCAGAAGCTTTGTTGGAAAAGGAGGTTGATTAAGAAGAGTCACAAGGCAGTGGCACAATGCCTGATTAAATGGAAGAACTTGGATGCTTCTCAGTCTACTTGGGAGTTTGATTCTGCTTTAAGAACCAGGTTTCCTTTATTCACCCTTGAGGACGAGGGTGTTGTTCATCCAGGGTATATTGATACACAAAATGGGTTATTCACCCTTAAGGACGAGGGTGTTGTTCATCCAGGGTATATTGATACACAAAATGGGTTATTCACCCTTAAGGACGAGGGTGTTGTTCATCTGGGGTATATTGATACACAAAATGAGGTAACGGGTGATATGGAGACCAGCTAAGAGCTAACTAGGCTAATGAGTAGGATTTTTCAAATTAAAGTTGTAATTTTATTTTGGCGGGAAAGTTAGTTAAGAGTATTTTCAGTACATTTATTTGAGCATTTCATTTTCGTCTGTCTAAGGGTATAAGGAGGATCTTGTAACTTGGATATCACACTTATGCTATGATAATACAACATGGTTCCTTATTCTAAACTTCTCGCTCTTCTCTCTCTTCCTTTCCCCCTTTTCTTCTTCTCATCGAATTGCTACTATTCTATTGTAGAGTGAAGCACCAGTGCTCCACCACACAATCTCAATACCATTGTTGCTTTGTCACCTGATAACTCAATTTGGTATCAATGTCTAATAATCTGCAACAACAACCCAGTAAAATCTCACTAGTGGGGTCTGGGGAAGGTAGTGTGTACGCAGACTTTACCACCCCTAAAGGGTAGAGAGGTTGTTTCCGAAAGACCCTCGGCTCAAGAGAACGAAAAGACAAAAGTAGACAATATTAGTATCACCACAGAAATCATAAGAAAAATAGGAACAACATGAAATCCAGAAGAAAGATGCAAAGCAAAACCAATAGCTAGTAAATAGGTTCTTCACTAAAAATAGTAAGACACAACATTGCCACTAGTTATCTTATACAAAAACCCTATGAGACTAGTCTCATAATCTAGCAGACATAAAATACACATAACAGAAAGTAGAGAAAAACAAAAAGGCTAAAAATTGAACCTGACGAGCGTGTTCAGCAACCCAATCTTGGTCAATGAACAATGCCGAAGAATCAGGCTGCGACTTCCCTTTCAATGCCTTTTTCCGATCATCTTTTACGCTGCCGCCGATTATGGAACAGGCCGGTTTACCGTCGTCGTTTGGCGGCGTTGGGATTAAATCAAATAGGAATCCTCGATCTAATTTCGAACTCAAATTCCCAATTACAAGCCCTACCTGTTAAAAAAATATCATCAGTGTTTATATGTAAATTCCGTTATACATGAATTGGATACCTGAGAAGGAAGTCGAGATTTGCCAAGCCGATTTTCAGCTAATTTGAGCTGTATTTCTTCTCCCACTACTGCTTTCACCATTTTTCTCCTTTTGCTTGCAGTCTTTGATTTCTGTTACTGTTTTTGACAGTTGAAGTAATTAAATAATTTGCTTACTTGGGATTCTCTTAATTAAAGACCAAACCTAGAACAAGCCCAAGCCCAATTGTCAAACTTGGAGGAAAGTATGGGTAGAGTCGGATTTAAATGCTGGAAACTATATGAGTAGTTATAATATATGGAATGTTTTACATTCCTATACAGTATATGAAACTATATTACCCTCCCTACTTAAGTTTTACTTTAATTATCTCCTATATACAAAATTACTAATTATGTACATTTTTAGAATTTAAGGATAATTAATCAATTCTTACAATCACTCTCACTCCCCCCACGATTCTCTCTCTTTATCTTACTCCCCCCACGTTTCTCTCTCCACATCTCATTCCCCTCCTAACGTATCTTGCACAAGAGAGCAGCAATTACACCATTGATAGCCATTAAAAGCTTTGAATTCGAATTTGGATTTTCAAAAAACATTATTTGTTTGAATTAGATGTTGTTGCAAAGAATTGAGAATTCTCTTTACGTCTCTCTCTATCTCTCAATCACTAATTTCAGTAATGTAAAGCAAAGGAAAAGAGAGCAGCAATTCCACCATTGAGAACCATTAAAAAGCTTTGAAGCTTTGAATTCGAATTTGGGTTTTTAAAAATTATTATTTGTTTGGATTGGGTGTTATTGCAAACAATTGGGAATATGGTTTGGAGTTTATATCTTAATTTTGTGGGATTTTGGTGAAGATTAGACTTGGTTTTGGCTGAATTTCAGATTGAAACTCGAAAAAGAAGAAGAAGACAACATAATATACATTATATTTATGAAATTATATTAAAATTGTAGAAAAATTGTAAAAAAAAAATTATATTATGTTGTTTATATATTTTTTCTTTTATTTATTTAACTATTGTATGAAAGTTGAACAACATTGTATAAAAATTATATTTAAGTTGTATGATATTGTAGTTGTATATAACTGAGTAGAAATAATATATGAAAATTGTAGATAAGTTGTATAATATATAATTAGTTGTATGAAATATGTTCTTACTATATATAAATCAGATACCAAATATACAAAAGAGATATTGTATAAATTTTGTGTAAAATTTATATTTAAGTTGTATGTGTATTGTAGTTGTATTTAACTGGGTAGAAATAATGTGTGAAAGTTGTAGATAAATTGTACAATATATAATTAGTTGTATAAAATTTATTTTTACTATATATAAATCAGATACATAATATACAAAAGACATATTGTATAAATTTTATATAAAATTTGCATTTAAGATTATACTATGTCCATGTCTTCATTAGGGAGGAAGAAGAGGTTGTTTTGTCTTCATTTACAGCTTCTCTCATCTCAAGTTCCGATACAAGAGTCTCTTTTATTGAATCTTTCAAATCAATTCTTTTAATCCTAACCAGTAACTACTTAAAAGGCTGCTTTCCTAGTTAACTTTCAGATTTACTTTGGCACACTTTGATTTCTAGATTATTTCATGTTACTTTGCAACTCTACTCTTCAAGGCAACTTGTTATGGACATTGCAAAAGTATTTTTGTGGCTGATGGTTATTTGTGTAATCTTATTCGCTTCTTATTGATCTGCTGAAAAATTTCAGATTAAACTCGGATGTGAAAATATGTATTATGCTCTTACACAATTATACTCATTTCTCTGAGTTACGAAAAAAATGCAATTATTCTTTTGAGAGGAAGAAGGGTACATCTCTTTCAGTCAAGTAGAAATTGTTAAACAATTGCAAGAGCTAAATTTGCAAAGGAACATGCTGTGGTAAACAATTGACGAGCATTGCCGATGATTGGAGAAAAATAAGGAAAGAGAAGAAGAGAAAAAAAAAAGGAAAAGAGTGTAATTAAATCTTTTGATTGAAGGCACAATAATGAATTTGGGAGTTTTTTAAGGTGGATTGTATATATTTAGTAAATAAAACTTGTTTATGCCAAGTAATTAGCTAAACATGAATATTAAGGGTAATAAAGTTTCAAATAGTATATAGGAATGAAAAAAATAAATAATATCTACCAACATTTAGTTACTACCGAGTAGGCAGAAAAAATTATCAATGATATACAATATTCAAAAAATCTAGGCAAAAAAATAATTTTTTCCAATGGGTATGTTTGAAATTCATTCAAAACACATAAATAAAGTAATGTACAAAACTTAAGGGAGATTAGAGGTGATTTGGACTAGTTTGGAATCAAATTTTGTGATTAATGAATACAAAATTCAAAAAACACAGGCAAAAGTTATTTTGTAATGGGTACTGTTAAGATTTGTTGAAAATACATAAATAAGACAATATAAGAAATTTGAGGAATATTGGGGGTGATATGGACTAGTTTTGAGTCAAAAATCATAGTTTAAATTGAGTTTTATTTTATTTTATTTTACGATATATGTATCAAATATGTATCACACATACATTTTGTGAGCACGTGATTTTTGCTTCACGAATACAACTCCAAAAGAAATCAAAAAAATAAAACAAATGTCCCTTGTGTACAATTTTGAGAATTTTGCGTGGCATTCTCTGGATAATTATTCGTGTCTTATCCATAATTGTTTATTTTTTTTTAACTAATTAAAAAATACAAAAAAATATGTTGCATGCACATTTAGGATTTAATTGCACATTTAGGAATTAACTGAACCATGTTTTGATTTTAAAATAAAGAAAATCACAAAAATATGTATTTGTTCTATTTTGTTAATTAGTGTACAATTGTGGATTTTGTTTTTAAACTAAATATTTAACTTTGTGTGTTAATTATTATTAATGTCTAATTAATGTCTTTTTAAGTCAATTTTTATTTTTACAAGTTAATTTAGGAATTTTGGTATTTAGAAATTAAAATAAAAAAATAAAAATAAAAAAATAATAATAAAAGGAAAGAAAAACAAATGGAAACAAAGAGAAAACCGGACTGGGCTATTTCATTTGGGCGAAAATCAGGCCCAAATCTCACCCCCACCCGATCCAGTCCATCCAGCCTCGAAGACGTGCGAAACGACGTAGTGTGATATTGAAACTGCGTCGTTTCGTCGTCAAAGATCACAACCACTCGATCTGGATCAATCCAACGACTCTCGTCCCACAATCCCAACCTGTCTCAACCAACCCGACCCATCACCATCCCCAACCCGGTCCACCCTAAGCTAAACGGCGTCGTTAAACTTAAGTAATCAATCCAGCCCATTGATCTCATCAGATCGAACGGCCACGATTTGTTTTCCCCCTAAAATATAAACCCTATCTCCTACCCCGTCCCCCAATCCACTACCCCCATTCATTCGTCTCTCCCACAGAGACTAGACAACCCCTAGAACACTAGCGCCGCCCTTCCACCCCCTCACCATTAAACCCGGCGGCAACAACGCCGGTGACCACCAAAATGACACCCCTGAGCCATCTCCCCATCCACAACACGAAT